AACCTCGAGGCAGAAGTAAAAACTAACGATTTGAAGAACAACAGACATGCCGAGGTTCAAAGATGAGAGAACTTGGAATTTGATCCAAGAGGAAGAATTAACTGCAGGCAAAAATTCCACATCTGCGATCTACTGCTAGTCAACTAACGAGCAATGAAAAAGAGTCTGCAGTTGCTGGAAGCACCTCAGATTTGGAACTCTCAAGAAAACTCAAAATTGACGCAATTACGAAGGGCTACGGGACCATCAAATACTGAAAGCAAAGAAAAAGCAAACAGCTGATAAGTAAGGTATTCGTGTGTGCCATTACAAGAATAGATGACTGTTCCCAATACCCATCCCTTTAAGCTCAGGACGTATCACTGTAAAGAGATGGGATCATACCTACAGCCTTGATAGCCTAATCACGACAAAAGAGAGCTTGTCACTCAAAAGCCTATGAGAAATCTGAGTTTCTGGAGCCTGACCGTCACCTGTAGCACCAATTCTACTCGGACATTTAGGATCCATGATCCTTTAACGCCTCTCCCAAGGAAGGAGGTATAGGACCCCGAGGTTAGGCTTCCTGATGTGCTTCACTTTGTGGTATCCTTCACAGTCTCCGAATCTTTACTCCCTCATATTTTACTCGACTGTAAAACGGTCAGCCAAGGGATCCAGATGACACTAACGTGGCCGAAACAAATATCGGGCTCGCAGGGAACAAATTGTCGAGGCTCATTGATCAGCTGTGACAGCATATATGAGACAAGGTTACGTTTGAAACCATCTCTGACTTCCATAAGTTGATAAAAATTCGAGTTACCTTTATGACATATACTGGAAAGGCCGTAAATGGAGCGGAGGAATTAGTGCCTTACACGCTTTCTCGAAATAGATCCGTCTCAAGCAATGAGTTTGACTTTTAACCTGTTCCACCACTGGAAATCACTGGATATGCCCTCTTGAACATTTTGGACTTTCTGAAAAGCTCCCTCACCCAGTATGGCCTACACACGAGCTTCTCAGGGAGTAATTCGGTTTTTTTTTTGAGATTTTCTTTCTCAATGTAACATAAGCGTCTGTGATCGAGAAGAGCGATGTTCGTAGGAGGAACTTCACGCTTCACCCTGCAGATGAATAGTATCTCTAATGAAATTTGAAGGCGCATCGAACCGAAGAGAAGTTAACACAAAGCCGTAAAATTTAATAAAATTGAAAAAGAAAAGGAATTGACTCGGGTAACAGTTTGTGAAAAAATCACGTGTAAAAAATCGTGATATATCATGTATCTGAGAATGAATATCTTTCATCGAAGTATCTTCTCGGAATTTTACAACAAAATGAGTCGGCGTACGATTTTACAGAAAGCCGAATTATTATAAGCCATACCGCAAACATCCCGTTTCGCTGGCGGCTCCGTTATCACAGCTTTGATGCAGACGTATCCGGGCAAACGACAACGGACAATAAATTTCTGATCTGAAATCACGAATAAAATGTTGTGAAGCGAATAGCCACTTAAGCGAATTGGAATTCGGCGGTGAATTTCAAAAAATTGGGGTATCCTGCTATATATTATCAAAATTCTGAAATTCATTTCTCTCGCACTAAAACTAGGGTGGAACTTCCCCCCGCAGCAGGTTTTTTACTATTCAATACAACACGTTGAGAGCTCCCAGATTATCCGTAGCCGGAAAAACACCATGTCTATCTGAGGAAAACTTTTTCAAGCATGTTTTGCCCCTTAAAAGTTCAAAGCTTGTTATGTCATGGAGTCGATCAGTCGCTTGACTTGCCCAATACTTAGCTTTTCTCACTTCCGACACATGAAAGTTTATCGTGTGCGTTGTAAAGTTGACAGCTAAGCTTGACACGTACCTGGTCACAGCTCTCGTTGGCATACCAAGGGAACTCTCGAAGAAACTGCAGCCTGTTCGTTTCTTCGTCTTTTGGCTGAAATAAGGAACATTATCAAACTGTAGCCTGATAGCTTTCAGTTTTCTGACAAAGTTTCGAGTCTTCGGCTGGAAAAGGGGAAGGGTGCATATGTGGATGAAAAGGCTGAAAAAGGTGGATGAAAAACGCCGAGAACTAAAAAGAATCTCCCGTCAGATCTTTATCTTTTCTATGTAATAGATAGAACAGGTATACCAAGATCGGAATCCACGGACGGAAAATAAAAATAACATTTGGGAATGAATTCGTACTTTTTCCTCACTCTCCCACTTCATGGGGACATCCACGTACATATGTCTCTTGATAGATTTCTATTGAAAACTGAAGAGAAAAATGAAAAGAAAAAATCATACGACTCCCTCATTGGTCCGATGCCGTAGCAGTTCTCAGTTATATCATGATCTGTCTAGTTTAAATGAAATTGAAACGGTCGACTCGAACTTTGAGCAACATTCGATAGGGATCATATAGCACGTTACATTCAGTTTATGGGTACATGGTTAAAGTGCGACTAAGCCTGATCCCTAATCCCTGACCATCTCCCTCTATTTGTTATCTTTTCTGGCGCCCCAAGCACTTCCTATTCAAAAATACTGTGGTCGACTACGTATTCTGACTCACAGTCTTCCTCTCTCTGAGAAAAAAAACAGCCGACCTGTACTTTCGTTGAATGAATAAAAGTAAAAAGGATGAAGCCTTGGGGCGTTGATCAATCCCCTCCGAGGGATGCACCCACGCATACGACTTGCATTCAGAATCGTAGTAGCGTGAAAGCGTGAATTTGATGTGGCCTGGCCTATAAAATGAATTGCGGTGGCCAGCCAATGTGCAAGTCAGTGCTCTTATCTTCCCATACGAGCCTGGTACCAATTAACCGACCCCGAAGGGATAGAAGGCTTGCTTGGCCCAGGCGAATCCTGGATTCGAACCCATGATCGTGTGTGTGATATAGTGCGCCACTTACCACTACACCACCTCCGCCCTCATTGAATGAATGCATAAATCACAAAGGTGACTGCAAGGCTTAGGGAGTGAGTGTTTAGAAGAGTTGTGAAAGAATTGTGAGCGTGCTAGTGCCTCACATTTTTGCTTGTATTAACCTAATAGAAAGGGGCCCATTCGCTGTCTCACTACCTGTCTGATTATAACATCAGTAGAACTATGAAAATTTCCTTGCACCATCGAATCAAGAGGACATTCCACGAATATGGATTGAAAAGGAACCTTCACCTGAAAAGATAACACATCAGGATCGGAAGTGCAACTCGTCGACTTCTGCCACAATCCAGAAAGTCCAGGAATGGCGACTGGTGTTACTTGATAAATCCGAATCATCAGTTTCCGAGTGCCACAAATATATCCAGCAACCATTTCTGTCGCTGCAATGAAGATGCCGAGACATTTGGGAATCGCGCAGCATACAACTTCAATGCAGTATCGTAGTGTCGGTTTGAATGCGCATGTGCCCATACATTTAGTAGCGGTAGTCGACCGATGTACATATAAGTCCGTGCTTGTTTCCTTCCTGGAGCTCCTGGTACTAGCTAACCGATCTTGAAAGAATGAAAGGCATGGTTGGCAAGAACGGGTCCGATACCGATCTGCAGCTCGTTCATGTCCGCCATTTGCCACTACACTACCTCACTGTGAGTACACAATTATTACGATAGAATTCAGATTCATTCTCTACATTCACGGTACAACAATAATCCAGAATAAGCTCATTTTCATATGCCAACCCGTTTTGTGACACCCGTTTAGATATTGTATAAATAACACAACTCAATAATCGCTCTAATCGAACCCATACTAGCGTGCGACAAAAGAGGATTTGACAATTCTCACTGGCACTTTAAAATGGAAGGTTCTGGATATAACTCGGAAAAACACAACATATCAGAGCGCTAAGTAACCGATAAGTATTGACAACAAAGGCAAGGCGATACTTTGAGCGAAGTGGAATGTTGAAGGGGAAACATTACAGAGGAATCCACGACAGGTATAAATTAGTCCCAGTATCCGTTCTCCGTCACCGTCTTCGCTCAGTTTCACCTGAAAATCTTGGATTACTCATTCATGGGACGCTTTGGCAGCATTACTGTAAAGGAATTCAAGGTTTTATGAGCAGTCGGGCTGTCAGATTACAATGGAGACGACTGCATCATGCCAGGTTTTCAAATTTTACACACATTGAATTGAAATCGGAACTAGCACTGAGTATTTTCATTTCTACGCTATTTTTAGATATCGCTGGGTCGGTGCATGAATATCCTTCGATTTGAATCCAAGAAAAAAGACAGATACGATTGTAGCGCGTACAAACATCCAATCTGGAGCATTATCACCGCTTAGTTCAATGGCTGCTCCCTATTCATTTAGCAGTGATCGACTACATGAGTAGAAATTACCTGTTCTCAAAGACAATTCTGACTACGAGGTTGCCTTCTAAGTCAACCAGAATCTGGAACGTTTTATTGACCGCTAATTTTCCTAGTTCAATTGGTCTCTGCGGAAAAATATTGAAGATTAGGAAGTAGTTCTCAATCTCACTTGCAGAGATCCCACGACATGATGTTCAGAGTGAGGATGAGCATTGTCGTGATGGGAGACAATCCTGCTCTTATTGCGGGGTCGTCCGGGAACAGAACTGCAGCATGGAGGCGATCAACCTGAGCCGGATGAAGTCGCTGCTTATAACGTATTACCTACTGGCGCTTTTGTCTAGACTTTCACTACTGTCGACGCTCCTCATATCCGTTCCACTACAACGGTTAGCAAGGCTCTCCTTACGGATGATTCCAATTCTGCCCCATCTGCCTCTGCGAACAACCCAAATGGTCTCCTTTATGAGGACTACTTTTAGTATTCTTGTGATATCGCATCTGCCATGGGAGGACCTTTTTCTTTGCTACGTTCCTGAAGAGTAGCTATGACACACCTTCAGAGGCGAAATCCTTCTAGAATAGGGGAAGCGGGTGATGTTTTATTCCCAGCAAAAAAGTGGAAATTTGGAAACGTATAAAAACTTTATTGCTGTCGGACAATTCGTAGCAGACCCACGCAATCGAATTCAACACTTTGCAAAGCCTCCAGGAGACGGGATGATTGATTGTTACCAGAGTTTTCGAACGGCATACTTGTTGTCGCCCTCTCGTCCTCCTCCTTGGCTTGTATAAGTCTCATCTAGTCGAAGACTCATGCTTACCCTTTCCCTTCGTTGTTATCTTATGTAGTTTCCACAGACTGGAGCGTGCAAACCAGAGGTAAGTAAACCAGCCGCTTTGGCCCTTCTGCTGTATGCATTTACTTATTCTGCGATTCTGTTTGAGGGTCTCATAATCCAACTCAGTTAAAGTACGTGGAGTCGCTTCTAAATTCCAGGTGGAAGACACTTCCTTGTTAATATATGGAAGGCATTGGGCGAATATATGAATCAACTGTTAAAGCCCACCATACTGTCACAGTTGAACGGCAGCCCTATGTACACCGTATAAAGAACTTCCACCTGGGATTTAGGAGCGACTCCCCACGTACTTTCTCTGAGTGGGATTATGAGATCCTTAAACAAAATCGCAGAATAAGCAATTGCATCCAGCGGAGGGCCAAACGGGCTGGTTTGCTTACTTCTGCGAACCACATCCGACATTTTCTTTCATTGGTTTTCATTGCGCCGAAGAGATCACTGGTATCGCCGAATGACTTTACTGCAATCACCCTTCTACTTACCTTACTTACTTACTTCTACTTACTTAGTTGTAAGGTGTAACATGGAGGCCAAGAGCCATGAAGGAGAGCGTCCCGTTCAAGTACAGTGAATGAAACGGGATTTTACATGAATGAAATACGTGCTCAAATGAATGGCTGATATTCATGCGCCAACCCTGTAGGAATACCCACAGCACCCCCAACAAATTTCGCTCTTCCTATTTATTCTTGTCAGGCTAAAGCAGGAAAACTGATCTCACCACATCTCGTAGTGCTCTCGGATCCAACGCAAAGGGGCCGTCTTCTCCAATCACTCGACTCCAACAATCTCGAACAACAGCGCCGCCTTGCACTGAAATTTTACGAACCCAGATGCATTCATTTAGGAGTTTTTCAACGCTACTGGAAAAAGTTGAAAGTGAAAAGCACTGTTCGCGATAAAAGTGGCTTATAAGGTATCCCGTAAGAATAAATGCGTGCCCCCCTCGTACACCATATGAAACGCTGTCATGTCGGTAAACGGCCCAGACAGGGCGTTATAAAGGCTCAAAAGTTGTCCCATGTAAATGCGCGGACGAGTTTAAACGTCATTGTAGAGGCTGCACTATTCACAAGGTAACTCAAGAAGGGGTCCGAACAACTTGTCGTGACCCCTAGCCACAGTAAAGGGCGATTCTGAAGTTTTGGCTTGATACAGTCAGCTCTTTCCGTAATTGCAACAGCTGAAATCTCGTCCGAATATCCCTTCATACCATTTCTGCCATGCCTCTATTTCGCTATACTTGACGAGGCTTATTTTTCTCAAAATCGGCGAATTTTCTCGCTTCGCCCACCACTGATGCACTACTCCCAACCAATACTTCCGCTTTTCCACTCAACAAAAGGCACCTCAAAATTATCGTGAACTGCCAGTTTGAGCTTCAATGAAACCGTTGGCTAGCTTGAATGGCAATAATGAAAAATGAAGACTAAAAGTTTTTTATGAATCTATATAAGAGTAGCAGCATCCACAACTAATTCTTCCTTTGAGGGAAAATTCTATAATGAGCGATCCATTCATCGCTTGTTGCTTTCTCTACAACAGCCCACATATAAGCATAGAGGTAGATTTGTGGGCGGTAATTCCTGCGGAGGCGTTCCTACCAAGCTTTTCAAAGCCTGATCAGCCTGTCGTAAAGCTTCTTTCACAGGTCAGCACTACATACCGACTCTTATTCAATGAGTTCCATCTCAGTAGCTTGTCTTTCTATCCAGATTCCAAAGCAGAGAGTAAGCGACTTGAAGGCACAGTTCACGATAATTTTGAGGTACCCGTTTTTATTCGAAAAGCGGAAGTGTAGATTGGGAATAGTTCATCGGTAGTGAAGAAAGCGAGAGAATTCGAAGATTTCGAGAAAAATGAGGCGTCTCAAATGTAGGGAAAATAGAGGTTGGACGAGATTGCCAAAACGGAAATAACATGGAAGGGGTATTCGGACGAGATTTCAGTTATTGCAATTGCACAAAGAGCTGACTCATCAAACCACAACTTGAGTCATGACCAGTTGTTTGACCTTCCTACAAGGGATCCCTTGTGATCGGTGCAACCTCTATAATGCCGGTGAAACTCGTCCGAGGATACACAATCTTAAGACACGTCCGTCAATCTTTGAGCCTTTATAATTCCTTGTGCCCCCTCGCATACCATAACTGGCACTATTAGGCCGTTTTCCGACCTAATTGTGCCAGATATGGTANGGGGGAGGGGGGACCTCAAATTCATTTTGTAGGAGAATCTCCCTTATCGTAGGGTATTCTTTTCAACTCATTAATACAATCGTCACAGCTTGAGCTTCACTTCAAGTATACGCTCCCGTTGATTAGATTTCTACATAACGACGTACTTTAACTAACAATCAAAGTTCTCTGACAAAACTTGTAAATTATTAATTAACTCATTCTGATAGTCTTTCAGCCTGATTTTAGGACATATTCTACGAAATAATAAAAAGCTGAATGGGCAATGATTCTAATGCCTGCCTATAAGACATTCTTAGAGGAATCGGGCAGTTAAAAGCCGCTGAACCGAGCTAAGTCAACGAGAAAAAATGCCAAGCATAAGAATGAGTTGCAGGTAAAAATTCTTCATCTAATTGTAAGGCTCAATGCAAGTTTACTAACGAGTTATAAAAGAAGGTTTGCAGTGGCCGGGAGCACCTTTAGATGGAAAAGCATTACGGAACCATAAAATACCGAAAGCAAGGGTAAAGCGAGCGGATGATGAAGTGAAGTGTTCGAGGGGTGCTACAAAATACAAAAAGTAGGGGGCTGGTCCCAGTATCCAGTCCTTTTCACTTTGGAAAAAGTATCACTGTAAAAGGTTTGGAATCACAAGCACAGCCTTGATAGCCGGATCTCGTCAGGAGGATAGCCCATTGACCACTTCAGACTGTCTGAATGGCTCCATCTGAATTGCCCCTACTGCAGACAGTATGGCCCTCCTCTTGAGTTTCTCAGAAAGGAACCTTTGCAATTTCGAGTTTTTCTTTCTTTCCTAATGCAATGTGAAAGACTGCCGATCGAGAAGGGCGATACGAACATTCGTGAGGAGTATGTCACGCTTCGTCTTACGGATGAACAGCACCTCTAATGAAATTTGATGGCGCATCGAACCGGACAGAAGTGAACAAAAACCCGTGAAATCCAATAAAATTGAGAAAAGAAAGAAATTGAGTCGGATAAAAATTGGTGAAAAAATCACGTGTGAAAAATCGGTTGTATCAAGATCCTATGAAGGTATATCTAATACTGTGTGCACTTCTTTGAAAGGACTTCTCCGGTGGTTGAGATCAGTGTATGGTTTTACAAAAAGCTGAATTATCTAAAACCATACCGCAAACGTCCC